CCCCCCCTTTCCCCACTTCCCTCCCCACCCCCATCCCCCCCCCCCTCTCTCTCTCTCTCTCTCGTTTTTAAAACCTCGCCGCCTCCCTCTTTCCCCTTCCCGCTCTTCTTTCCACCTTATCGCCTTCGATGTCGATCTGATCTCCGCCCCAGTTCAGCATCTCCTTTTCTCGATCTTGCAAGATCGAAGGGATTGATTCCCTCAGGTAATCGCCGTTCAATTTTCTGTTCTCTCGTCGAGTCTTGGTTTTCGTCATCGAAACTTAAGATTCATCTGTTTTCTTGATGCTGATCCATGGGTTCTTCCTTAGGGTGTCTTTTAATGATCGAACTATTTCTTTGGTTGTCATTAGTTATTTGGTCTACTTTCTCGTCGGTCGGGGCTTTTTTGGAGAAGAGACATGTGGCTGTAGAAGCCGAGGGTAATGGTTTCTTGATGCCGATCCGATAGGTTCTTGATTAGGATTTTCGGTTTGTTAGCGGACTTTTGAGTGGAATTCTTGATTCCATTCTCTGAAACGAGGTGTCTTGCAATGATCAAACTATTTCTTTGCTTACGATGATGTTTTGGTAGTTCCAGACTGAAACTGGTCTACTTTCTTTTAGGGTGGGGTGGGGTGGGGTGGGGTGGGGGGTTGTTGGACTAGAGGAATGCAGCTATAGAAGCAGAGGGTGATGGCCCAAGCTGCAGTTGTTGAATCTACCTCCAATTCTTTGCCACCTGGGCAGCCAATTCTGGTGTGACGAAGAAGAGGAAGACCCCTTCAGAACTCAGGGTAAATTTCTTTCACAACCATACTTATAAACAAACATACTTATAAACACTTTACAAGTATGTTTATAAGTATGATCAAGGCCTGGGAGAACATCACTCATGCTAAGAGGTGGAGCAAACATGGCCAAAAACATACCTCCGAAGGGATTTCCACCGAAGAACGACTCGAAGATATCGAATGGGTTGTGGCCACCTCCACCACCCATTCCCTCCTTGAGGGCATCTTCACCATACTGATCATAAATCTCACGTTTCTCAGGATCGCTCAGAACCTCATAAGCTTGGGCCAACTCCTTGAACTGTAAAGGCAGACATGAGATCTATGTCATCTGCGACTCCAAGGGTATGAAACAAATATCATGACCTAACCATCCCGACTACAATCCTTCGGAACATCACAACAAGAACAAGGCCACACAAACATTTAGGCTACAAAGTTTCAACAAAGCAAACATAGACGGACGTTCGACAACATGTAGAGATAGAGAATATGCCCATCCCAAATTAGCTACCAGTTCGATCATGGATCTAACTTTGGCGACATAGATTTCCAACATTTATAACAAAAAAAACCTTCAATCACTTGGCAAAATTACATTAAACTATGAGAAAATCAAACGAGGTTCTTTAAAATGTATCAACACCTAGTAAAGATGAATCTAAGGGACCAAAGACGGAGATGAACCATTAATTAGAACATCGATCCCACCTTTTCGACTGCAGATCAGTAGAACCAGACACCGACAAGCAAAAGGTGCGTTACCTTCTCTGGATCGCCACCCTTATCGGGGTGGTTCTTGATGGCGGCCTTACGGTAGGCCTTCTTGAGGTCCTCCTGCGACGCGTCCTTCGGTACCCCGAGGATCTCGTAGTACTTGGTGTTGTCGCTCTTCTTCGGCGCCCTCCCGAACATCTTGCCGACCGAACCCTAATCGATCTTCCCCAAACCGAATGAGAAATCGGGCCCTCAGGTCTTGCCTACTCCCGATTCAAGACCACCGCAACGCTGCCGACCTCGACTCCGAGAACCCTTGTCGACGGATGGCTCGAGGCAAGGAAGGAGGGGCGAGTGCTTGATGTTTCCCTGTCAAGTCTTGATCTGTTCTCAGACACCGGAGGATGAGTGTTGCACCTGGAAATGGAAAACTCCTGCAATGTTTTGAAGAAGTATTATATATTGGAGTTTTCTCCATGTCATGATCAGAAGCTTGCTCTCAAGTTTCACCGACTGTAAACACTTACAGAAATGACTCAATCATGTCACCCAAACCCTAAACTTCTACCTTTTGGTTGAAGCAGTTGCTGCTGTGTAATTGTGTTAGTATATTCCACAAAGACAAATGACAAACGAAATGATCATGATCTCAAATCCATGCCTGACACAGGACCAATGAAGCCAAAGATGTCAATGCCATAATCCCATCAGCTTTGGTTTGTGGTGATACCACTCTTCCTGTAAAGATGTCTTAAGCAAGATATGTAATATCGTACTGTACCGGTGTTTCGAGGTTGACTCAAGTATGGTATTATACCGGTGTACTGAGTAGTACACCAATGTGTATCGAATAGTTTTATATATTTTCTTCTTACTGTAGCACCGTAGCAATGTAGCATTGTTATAGTGTAATACTGTAGCATTATAGTACGTTCCGTTCGGTACCGGATGGTCCGCATACCTGTATGCTATCGGATCGATATGTATCGCCCATACTGAGTGGTACCATTTGGTACTGCATACCATGGTCTCAAGTATATGAACTTTTTTATTTCTGCTTAAAGAAAGAAGTATATATCTGAATACAAAATTTAGTGTATATATATATAGGATAAACAATTATGAATGTCAAAATTACATATATAAAAAATAATATCAAGGTAATTCAGCAAGTCAAGTTTCTGAAATGAAAACTGTGAAACTCGTAAAGAAAATATATTTACATAGAGAGAGAGAATTCAAGATCTAACATTTTCAGATATATTTGCATTTTCAAATTTGAATACACTATCCCAAATCTTTTGAACTGATTTTGGACAAAAAAAAAAGGAAATAAAAACATAGTTGAATGATGGATTTAGATGCTATTGTAACTCGGGTATGGTATTGATTGGAATATCCATACTGGTCTTGCAAAAGAGCTGGTTTCTGGCTTGGGTAAATGTCAACTTCCTTAAAAGGAGGATTTGATTCCTAGGTTCTTACTATCAGTAATCAAAGTTGTTATCAGCTAAGCTAGTTAGTATCTTCAAAATTTAGCTTTAATGAAACTTCTTTACCATGATAAAATGTTTCCTGCTGCAGTTCCAAAGATGCAGAGGATCTTTAAATGTCATGGATCCACCAACTTCTTGAGCACTCTGTTTCTGGTATGGAGGAGCCTCTGAAAAATGTGAGTTTTCTTTGTTTCTGTTAAAGCTCATAAGCATACTTGACTTAGGGAGGAACATCTAGGGATTGCAAATTAAAGTGTGCATTGATCAAGAAATCCAGGCTATGGCACTTGTGATAGTCCTTACTTGTGTAGTTCCACCAACACACTATCCATTGAAGGGGGCTTCAATCCAAGAGGAAATGACAACCATGGTTTCTTCAAAACATCTCCAATATCTGCATCAATGCTTTCTTTTGACTGAAGTAACAAACAGGTACATATTGTTAGAAATGTTGTGGTAATCAACATGGAATGAAGAAACGAAAGATCTTATTTTGCTGATTTGTCATGCCGTTCGTCGTAATTTCTTGTTTTTACCTTCTTCTCCCTACATCTACAGTTCACAGTTGGTTGGGTTAGATATGGAATCTGAAGTCGCTTAAGAACTGTCTTTTGATATATGATGTGAAACCCTTTCGTTTTTTACCTGATGATTAGATGACCATTCTTTGCCTCTTGAGATAGCAATTATGGCAGTCAGTTGAAGGGGGATGCATACAGGGTGAGCATCAATGTGACGCTGCGAACTCGAGTGCTCGGCCAGGGAACGGTGCAGGATAGTTACTGACATCAGCAATGGCGGAGGGAAGCAAGGAGCTGCTTTGGCCATGGCGTGTGGAACCCGTTTTCCATTTCCCTGCATGGAGAAAGAGGAGACAGGTTTGGAGTCAACCAAGGCCAAGAGAACAGACAGAGACAATGGGACGGCGTGCACTATGCTGTACCCCTTTGGTAGGGTCGTGGTGGTGGCGATGGTGGCGGAAGAGGTGACTGAGGCGCCCATGGCGGACACACGTGAACTTCCGCCGTCGGGTGCCCCGAGACATGCAGTGGTCGGAGAGGCTGCACCATAGGAGGGGGAGGAAGGAAGCTTATGGGAGGGGCGAGCTATGGATTGATGTCCCTCTTCGTCTCCATGCCTGTCGCGTACAGATGTCGTCTTCATCTCCAGCTTGCGGCCTCTGCATCCGTCGCAGGCGAATGCTTCCTAACCAAACGTTATCTCCGTACCAACGTCCTGGTTTACCGTGAAGCTAATTAGTGACCGCAGAGCTGTTACAGCATCGCAATAGAACTGTACGATGAGAGGACATAGGGAAGAAGACAGAGACTGCCATGGCAGTACTTGGGAGGCGTCGAGAGATCAATAAGCATTTAGGGAAGAATCATGGTATCACAGTCGTTAGGTAAGAGAAATTGGAGTAGGCAAAAGGACTGTAGAACCTGTAGATGGCTAGCAACATTGTGTTTAGAGAGATGCCATCACATATGCCTAGCAACCTGTACATGCCATCCAAAAATAATGTTGTGCCAATCTGATCATCAATCAAACCAATTTTCTAACTTCGAGCCGAATTCATCTTTCTAAAAATTAATCTTGAAGAGAGATCCTTGCTATTGCCGACAAAGATACAAATCGAAGATTTTGTTTCATGGAATATAATGTATGTATTGATACTTTCCAACTGATGGCCTGTCACATTAACATGAATCTAGACTGGTCATACCATATTGGTGTAA